CTTTTTGTTCTGTTTCAGGTAAATTCTATTTTAATTTTGACTTTGTACATTTTTGTTACTTCATGAGTTATAGTTGATTATTTCAATGTTACAAGGGATAAATAATTACGCTTTTGCAATTCCATATGTTGCGAATGACTAATTCTCCAAATTAGTCAATATCCGACGATTATAGTTCCTCGGTGGGACTACAAGCTGTCACATTTTAAGAGAAGTAAGTTAAAAATTTGAGAGAAAATGAGTTAAACTCTAGAGGAATTCTGGTCAAAATTTTAGAAAAAATTCTATTCAGACCTGTCCGAGAAATCTGTCTAAAACCAAGAGGAAATTTGAAAATTTTTGAAGTTGTTTGTTTAGATATTAAGAGTAACAAAACTTGGGAGTAAGTTAGTAGCTTGCTATAATTTAATGTGCAATTGTTTCCATAATTTTGTAAGTACTTTGTGATTATGCAATCAACTACGGTTCTGTTTTTATGATACTTATGCCAAAGGAAATGTTGTTATTTTGATGATATTTTAAAAAAAAAATGTTGTTCTCTAAGTGGGTTTTAAAATTACTTTGTCAAAAAGAAATGCTGCTAATTTTATATTTTTGTTAAGGTAGTATTCAAACCATTCGAAAATTATCCAAAGTGAATTTTTGTTTTTATTCACCACTTATTATAGAGGGGAGAGTGTTATGCACATCCACTTCAGTGGAAGAAAAGTGTAAAATGATTGTTCACTTCGATGGAGGGAATCCGACCATTATTGGCAATTTCTGCCCACCTATATTATGACGAGGAGAGTGTTGTGTCCATCCACTTCAGTGGAGGAAAAATATTATCTCCATTCACTTCGGTGGAGGGAGAGTGTTGTGCCTACTCATAATATAGCTGGGAGTCCGTTGTGCTCTCCATGATAATAGTGAAAGTGGCTCATTGCACAATGTTGCAAAATAATTTTGAAATGATTCTGAAAAATGTTTTGAGTGCTTTGTGATTTTAAACTTTGGAAGCGTATGTGTCATATGTGCTTTGATCTTCAAAAAATGTGTCATATATGCTATGATTTGTTGAAATACTTTTAATTCTTATTGCTGATATATTATAGCTTGCTACATACTGAGATGTAGATCTCACCTTTTTCATAATCATTTCAGATATTGTCGATACCTAAGTGTTAAGACAAGGTGAAACTTTTGGAGGCTAAGTCCTAAAGTGTTCAAGTGCCAAGGACGCGAAGGTTATGTTTCAAATTCATTAGTGATGTATAAACCATGCTTTGTAAGAATGCTTTGCAAATTTTAAATTAATATATTCATGATGTTTTATTAAATTAGTGTACTCTAGTCACACCCGGAAAGAGTGCGGGGTCATGGAAGCGACAGTGAGAGAGAATAGACCTGACAGCCAACTACAGAGAAGAAGGATTTAGAGAATAAAAGACTAGCTGGAGGAGGATTTTTAAGTTTTACTTTCAATTTCAATATCTTCTTGGTTTAAGGTTTGCTGATTAGGTTTCCCATGGGTTATGTTAGCATTTATTTTAATTTAGCGAATCAATCTGGGTTGAAAACTAAAAGAATGTTATATATAATTTTTCCTCCAAAAGTTCTGAATATATTATGCAAAAACTATACCGTACTCTATTTTATAATATATTTTCTCCTAACAATAGAACTGTTAGTTTTTACAACATTTATCTTTGTCACAACACTATATATCATCCAATTAAAAATCCTTATTTTCTTCTCTCAGAAGCCCCTTTTTTATCTCTTCCCAGAAGTACCCAACTCCCATCTTCGGAGCAGATCAAAGCAGAGCGAGATATGCAGGCTGATGCACTATTCCCCCTAAGGAACCCAATAACAAAGTTAGAACAATCAGTTAGGAAAGATGTGTTCGTCTGCACCAACACCCAAATTTGAAGCATTATGTTTACTCCCATTTTCTTACATATTTAATTTTTTCTGGGAAGGGGAAAGAGCCTCCTCGTACTGAGAAGGAGGGAAATTATATACACAAGAATCCCATGGGGGTAGCTCTCTGATCAAACATGTGACATGAGGCCACACTTCTGGATTTGAGCACTATCTTGGCTCTTGCGAGGAGCAATCTCAAAATCAATCAATAAGTCAGTCTAACTTGACTGGCCTAAAAGTACCTAGCATGGTGTTCATTGTACATACCACATCAAGCTACTCTGACAGAAACGACCTCGCATTCTTGCATTGATTTGAAAATGAAAAGGGCAAAAAGGAAACTAAACCAACTATAAGCAACAGCATGTTTACAAGTACTTCCAGGAAAAGAAAATGAACTGCCAGTAAGTCATAATTTTCATCTTACATTAAGAAAGCCGAATCCACCCTCCAAAGTGCATGGATAGGGATTGCTCAGCTTGTCACCACACTGTTTTCTAGTAAATTCTTGTCTTCATCTCTCCTTTGGTGCCAAAGAAACACAGATATTAAAGTTAACTGCAATTGTCGCCGCAACTGAGTAGAGCAAGATGTGAGTTTGAGCATACAGCTTAGACATCATTCCAAGAATAGAACAACCACTAGGTCTCATGCAGTTTGCACCTTATGATTGTTTTTTGTGCATCAGTCAACCTTTCCCACCCTGGAAATTTACGGGTTAATATAGACTTCCGCAGATAACAACAGATCTATCCTAATCACTTTAATAACAGTGGCACACACTTAAATAACATAAAATGCTCCGCAATTGAGCAACTCTAACTTGGATCCAAACAAAGTAAACAGGCTATATTGGAATGAAAATTTGTATAGAATTAATTTGCAAATTCACACTTGATACAACTGGGAAAAGATATAAATCATATTAAGATGATAAAAAAAATTTAATTCATGGAATTTCATGTGGAACTGAGGCCAAGCACCATATGGTATTAATTTTTCCAATTTAGAATGTATTATTCCAATTCTACATTTTAATGGAATTTAGAGTGTATTATTTCAATTCCACATGAATTCGACATGAAATTATTTTTTTTAATCATTTTAAGGAGAATTTTCACCTTCTACCAGTTGAATTAAATGCTAATTTACAATTGGATTGCACCAAGATTCATGAATCGTTCCAAATATAGCTATAGTCTTGTGGTAATGGGAAGGTTAATTACTTTGCTTATCTGCATATTAGCATACCATATAAAGTCCTAACTATTTTGGCTCTTTCATATTTTTTTGGCATTACTGATGGTCTAAGTTAGTCCAATTACACATCTGACATTAGGAAATAACGGCAACTCCCAACCAAGAAGCCTTAATAGTCAAACATATTTAATCTACTACCTACTGTAGTTAAAAGTACTCTCAAGAGCCCAAAGTGCACAACTAGAATGAATAATTAAGAACAGCGTGGAAGGGCCCAAGCATAACAGTACAAACAGGAAGATTATGAGATGTGCCTCAACAAGATGTTATTACCTTGTGAGGTGGAGTTCCTGGTCTCAACATGTTGCTACCAAATCCAATTTTACCTTTCTTCTCAGTTGACTTAAGAATCTGAAAAGAACACGTCAAAGTGTCATCCACGCTCATCATGGCACCAGCATTATCAAATTCACCACAGTAATTTGGGGCAGAGAATATGGTTACTAGCTGCCGCTTTGCAAAAAACTCATAGCCATCTTCGACAACCTAAAATTCATAACCATGAAAAAATTAAATGGAGAAAAAGTTAGTAATGAACCGTAAGGCCAGCCTACTACAAATGTGAAAAACACACTTGCAAGGAGACATGTGAAAATTGAAGATCCTCGTACTAAAATTTCTACAACATCAGAAACGGCAAAGCAAATGTGTCAACATCCTTACTGATTATTGTTGCAACAAAAATAGAAGGTGGTAAAAGCATTTGCCCCCAACACCCCAAGAAAGCCAAAAAGTGGGAAGCATTAAGGATAAAAAAATTTCAGCATAGAGACTAATGCTGATAGGTAGAGAACACAGCAACCTGACTCAACCTTTCAATTGTGTGGCCTAGTCATGAACCAGCAAAAGAAGAACATGATACCAATAAAAATATAGACCAAGTTAAAGGAAGATGCAATATAATTATATATACACAACATGATCTATCATATATGCAAATAGAAAAGAACACATGTAGATGCACACTGAAAAGTTATGCATGCATGAGCAGAGAAAGCAAGACAAATGTCCAGTTTCAATAATAATACAAATGAATCTTCATTTAAAAAAAATATATATCTTCAAATAAATTAACAAATACCTAACTAGTATGCATGTTATCCAGTGAAGAAGGTTAACACACAAACAATCACAACATACTATTAAATGGCAAGTCAGAGATAAAGATTTATTTCAATGAAACCTGGTGAGCTCGGCAGATAAGATCAAGATCATGCTTCTGAAGAAATTCAGAAACTTGGTCAGCTCCAAATGTAAATGAAACACCCCTGTCATTCTCTCCCCATCCTTCAATGTCTTTATCGGGATCAGCCCACAGCAGATCACAAAGTAGACCCTGATCTGGCACATCCACTGGGCGAGCAATGTTTCTGATTTGATCCATGCTTTTCAGTTCAGGAGATAATCCACCATGCATGCAGAGGATCTTTTCATCAATCAGAGCAGCAACGGGCAAACAATTGAAGCACTCAGTAAAAGGTCTTCCAAACACGGACATTAAATCTCCTCTTGCACTCATCATAGAAACCATATATACGTTGATGGAAGCACATTCATGATTGCCCCGA